TGCTTTCGATGGCAATCTCGGGGTCCCGGCGTTTTAGTACCGCCCGCGGTCCAAAAGAACCATCAGAGGAAGAAGATGCCCGCGGCGCTGCGATGCTCCGCTTAATCAGCACTGACTGCGCCACATAACTCAGATATATATAGTACAGGCGAAATATAGCCCAGAAACAACCAGGAAAAAAAGCCAGCCACGGTCCAACGGAGGCGTTTGAAAAGGATAGTGTTATCCTGGCTGGAGACAAAGAAGAACCCTGCCCGTTGTTGCTTTTACGCTGCTGTGCACTTTAATTTTAAAACAAATGCTGGCAAGCTCCACACGAATTTCAGCCCAGTAAGTCAAGCGAGATGGAAAGAGAGATTTAGAACATGAAGGTTTACGGATACACCAGAAAAATATATTTTCAAAATCAAGATTTGTTGAACAAATCGCAAATATTAAAGAAAACTATTTTTTATCATTCCAATAAAAAATAAATGTTTCTAATTAATTGAAAACAGAAAAAATGGTTTTGTTCTTACTGAAACTAAAAATGAACTTTGAATTAAATTTTGTTATAATGAAAAAGGAGGAAAAGCAACATAAATTGCATTATGACCATTTTAAGATTAATTCATTTTTGCGGTTAATATTTCCGCATTTACTAATCGACTTTTCTCTTCAGTGAAGTGGCCAGAGAGAATAGCAAGTCAGCAGCCAGGCGTGCCAAAATTACAGTTGCAATCAAATCTTAAAGCAACCGCAAGTGCAGGCCACATCTACAGAGCTGTCTCTCAGAAAATTAACCACAACAACTTGCAGCACTGGCACACATTTCGACACAACCGCACACACACTTCAACACAACCGCACACACGCACACACACTCACGAATGGGGCTCTTGTATTGCAGGATAGTATAGCAATAGCTGCGGTTTGTTAGGCAACTTATTAGATTAGCAGGGGAAGACAGTGTCACCCCTTCTCGTTTCTCGATTGGATGCAACAGGCATTCTGCCTGACCATCGAGCTGTGCCACCACACACAGCTGTCAGTCAGGCCCTGACATGTCCTTTGGTAAATATGATTAAAGTGGGGCCCCTTTCTATTGACAAAATTTAAAGTACCCGCACTCAGGCTAATGACTTGTTCTGCTGGCAAAAGCCGAGAGGGGTATGTGTAAGCTGGTCGGGAATGATGGATGCACATATAAAAACCTCTTTTAGTTGGAGCCAGCGAAAGCCCTGTCCAGCAATAGATGACGAATGGCTCTGGCCATGGACATCCGTGTCCGTATGCGCATCTCTCGGAGGCAGCGTAAAAAAGCATGCTATGAAATTTTATTTATGCCACTTTTGGGGCTGCATGTCACATCTGCACAAAGGACCATTGTCGGTTGCGGGCTCCACAAAAGGCATGACTCTTGGGGGATGGCAATGGTTCGACTAGGTAGATACCTAGTACTTATTTTTAATAAAAATAAATAATACTTTTTATTTCCTATTATCGGTGCAAGCCGATATAGTCTCATCGCTAATTTCAAAAACTATACAATATATTTAAATAAGGAAACTCTCCAGCAAAATGGGAAAATCTAGGAATACTCATTTTTATTTTGTTATTAAAACAGCAATAAAAAATACAGCAAATACAGCAAATAGGAATCAAAGGTTTAAAATAAATTAAATTTTTAAGAGTGTATTTAAGCATATTAAATAATTCTGATATATTGATTGTTATTTCATTCACAATATCCACTTAAAAATATATCTGAAAACAAAAATAATTGTTAAATATATATATATATATATATATATATATATATATATATATATATATGTACTGTTTACATCAGCAATTTTACTACAAATCCAACCTGACTTCTATTCACCAAAAATCCCATATGCAGAAATATACGTTACTAATTTGAAAGATGAATTAGATTTCCAGCATTCGGAGATTTGCAGCTTTGCAGTTTTGTTGTTCGGGGCCAAGGGGATTGGAGAACTATAAATTTCATTTGTCACAGCAAATCCCCAGAGCGGCTTACAATGAAGTTCATTTCGCAGGCAACGGGGCGAACGGGAAAGACATTTTTACGTAGTTTGTGGCAAAGTCAAAAACAGCATAATGCATGCGAGTACAATCACATACACATTGTCTGGGTGGGACAGCTGACACAATGGCCACAGAGAACAATTTAGATATTTTCTAAAGATTTAAGCGCTTCACAAGCGCCTCAGAGGAGGAGATAGGACGAGTTCAAAAGCTGTCGTCAGCTTCAGCAACATAGCTCTTTGGTCCTGGTCGCTTGTCTATTTGTTTGCCATTTAAATAAGCATACTTCCCCGGCAAGTAAAAAGGCGGAAATAAATATGGAAAAAGTAAAATACATGCATATTCATGTGACTAACCACAGAAGCTCGACATTATTACTTATGTTTATTTGTTGTTTGTCTGTTGCAGGTACGTACGAGCATGGAGGCCAAAGGTATACCTCCATGGAAGTATCCACTGCAGTGGCACCTAAGTGGCTCACTCCGGTATTTGCATACGAAGGCCGATGTATCTGTTGCTCGGTGCATGTGTGCATGTGTGCCAGCCCTTAAGTGTCTTAAGTTCCGGGTAAGTGGGAACTTTTTCTGAATTCCAGCAAGTGGTGCGTCGAGTGGTTGTCCGTGTTGCTGGGAAACGTATTTGTATTCGGGTCCGCAGACGAATACCTCACACACAATTGTGACCCCAATTGGCGCCCAGCTTGCGGGTGAAAATGGAGCGGAAGCTCAAAGGTTCCCCCAAGTACGTTTTCATATGCTCCAAATGTGTGAATAAATTAAATTTTCTTCTTGGCTTTAAGGTGTTGTGGCTTGGCTTGGGATTATGCAAGTCAAATGGCAGGCACTCAGGCGGAAGGATGTCCCAACAATTTTGAAAAGAAAATAGAGCTTTGATTGCTTTTATATAAATATTCAGATACCAGAAGGTTCGCATGGAAAGGCAGGTCAACAAAGGTAGTTAAATTTGAGAATATCTAGCCGATGTTAGAAAATGAAAAAATTCGAAGCAAGATTTAACCATTTGTTATATTTTAAAATCAAACAGTCTGTGCGCTTTTAAGATTTTATTTTAATCGAATTTACTTAATATTTGCATCAAAGAAATCATTAGCATTTTAAAATCATTTATAAAATTATTTTTATTTTATTTTTATTTGTATGCAGGCAATAATAAGTAATGACTTTTTAATTAATTCTTTTGGACTTTTGGCAATAAATTATGTTGTTGCATATTTTAAGGCACATTTTAAAGTAATTTCAGAAAAATAATTATTTAATGCTTGTTAAGTCTTATGATGATGAGCTAATTTCCTTGGCCGTATGTCTGGACCACGTACGTAATTAACCCACTTGCACGGTAAAGTGCACCGCTGGCGCATTGCATACCACTGTGGCATGGTGGTGGCCACAAAGAAAGCGCCAAAAATCCGCAAACGGCGTGCAAAAATTTGCTTCGCTTTTAATGGCGCACAGGGCGGAGTGTGTGCGTTCATAAGAGCCTTAACTGACCAGCACAAGCAGATACGCACCACACTCATCCAATCCAGCGAGTGGAAGGATCGACCCTGGCCAACGCTTTAAAAAGCCATTTCGGTTTGCTTTACCCAATATTTTTTTATTTTCAATTTTTTTCGGAATCCTTGCCATGCCCAGAATGGATGGCACATCGTTTAAAGCGGCCACAGCAGCTGGAAAAAATCGTTGGGCGGATTATAAAACACTTAAACGATTTTAAGCGCAATTATGTTGGCAGGAGCACGTAGCCAACCGCCCTTTCCGTTTCATTTTTGAGCACATCCCAAGGGGTTTTCTCATTAGGTTTTCAATTTAAAGGTGCTAGTGCTCTTCTACACTAGTTAAAGGAAAAAAAAAATTATATATATATTTTTATAAAAACAAGAGGGTGCCGGAGAAGTGCTGGGGGGCAGAAAACCTGGAACAACGGGAGTTGCAAACTCGGACTGCAGTACAACAATTAGAACGGCAGCTTACCGGAAAAAAGTTTGCATTTCATTTATGCTCGTTGGGATTTATTTACGTACAAAAAGTTCCGTACCGGGTCCGGCCTGGCCAAAACTAGTTCTGGTCAACGTTTCTTAGAAGACACCCCAGGTTGTGGATGGTGGAACGGCATCCGCTGCCAAGTTCGCCCCATTGTTGTTACAATAAACTTCCGGCCTTAAATTTCAATTGCCTGCCCGTGTATAGGTGGAAAACGAAATGGGCGACCGTTCGCCAAGTTATCCTTAGCAACGGCTTCTGACATTAATTAGGCCAAACATGTTGAAACAGAATAGCACTCCCACTCCGCAATCCTTCGCAGCATCCGCCCGCTGATAATGGCAACGGTAAAGTTTTCGGCCATCTGTAGGTGCATAATGGACCTGGCCCGGAGCATCCTTTTCAATGCTCCGCTGGCTGCTTGGCAGCGTGTTTATTATGCAATTTGGTGAAAGGCCGAAAGTGCAGAGCACACGAAAGTTGGCCCCATTCGCTCTTTAAATCAGATGAAATGTGAAATTAGTAGAAGTATATTAACGGTTCAATTCCAAATTCATCTATTTTAAAAGCACCAAAATCCCAAGGAACACCCAAAAAACAAAATTACCTACATTTGTATAAACCTTAGCATAGTCGAAGTATTTTAGAAGGCAAGTCCTCAAGTGTAACTGTAAAGTTAATTTTTTCGTGAATTTATAAGCTTTAGGTATATACAAGAGACATAATAGTCGTGTATTACCTAGTTTTTCAAAAAATAAACGATATCTCAGTTTATTTCTAAAGTAAAACAAAATATATTTTTGTCAAAATTTGTACTTAAATAATAATAATAATTTATACTATTGTATTTTTGTTAGTATTAAAGTATTCTAAACCTGTTGAAAATCTATTGTGACTAACGCAGTAAAAATAAGTGTGAACTTGTAGCGTAAGGAGTTCATAAATGAAGTGAAATAATAACATATGTAGTTTTTAAAAAGCATGTTATTGTATGGTACAAATGCTAAAAACTTTTGCCTTTTAATTCATTACGATCCACTCCACTTCGGCTTCTTAACCCTTAAATCGGTTTGAGTTGAACAGTCTGCCACTTCACGGGAACTCCATACTTTCCAGTCTGTCCTCGGCTTTACGGCCCGCTGAGTCATCGCTTCTTCGTGAACTTCCTGAAAGACCGGTTTGTCATCTTGATTTTTGCAAAACCAGGACTTCCACCAGGAGTTACCGCTGGGCGCCTCAGCTTGTTTCACAGTGGCGTTCGGGTTATAATTTTTCTTTTCCGCACGTTTCTTTGCGGTGGCAACCTTGGGAGGCATTCGCTTTCGGCCATGACTTGGGGTTTTGGTCCTTACGACCTTCGAGGATATGTTCTTGGCGGGTAGAAATTTTGGAGATTTCTTTCCAAAACACTTTTTCATCGGTCCGCGAGGTCTGGGAAATGCATCGCAACTTAATTTTGCATCCTCGATGAGCCCTCTTTTCGTTGTGGATTTCTTGGATTTGCCTCTAGATCCGGAAGGACCAGCCTTTTCTTCCATACCGCAATCCGATTTGTGGAAACTTAAAAATTTAAAAACGTATCAAAAGAAGACACTGTAAAACAAATTTTAAACCTTTTCTAGACCTAGCTTGATTGAAAAATATGTGTGACCGGATTGAGTGTAAAAATAAAACTAAAAAGTAACAGGAAGGCTATAAAAAACTATGAAAAACATATGACTTTAGGTTCATAGCCGGCTTGGTGTTACAAATTGAATTAATTTGCTTAAACAGAATTAGTTTTATTATAATATATACATTTCTTTTGTTGACATGACATTTGAAATAGCATTGGGTGTTATTAAAAAGTGAAATAGAAATGAAAATGAACAAGTGCACACCTGCCATTTATATACTCTGTATAAATTTTTCATTGTTTTCCTTTTCCTTTTTAAAATAAAATGTCAAAGAGAATGTTTTAAAGTTGTGTTTCGCGCCATTTGGCCAATTGCATTAATTTGCGGTCAAACGGTGGCAAATTTGACAGGGATTTCGCACGACAATTTATTGCATGTCCTTTTACGAGTTTGCTTTTTGGCTCTGCACGAGCGCCGCTAACTTTATATAATGGCGGAAAGTTCACACTTCCTTTGGCTACAACTTTGTCCACTGCCGCTGTTGTTGTGTATGTTGTTGAACTTTTGTGCACATAAAGGCGCTATTTGCTATTTGCACTTGCACCAGTGCTAAATATATTTCAAACAAAAGCCAAGCAAACAGCTGACAAGGGCAACAACGAATTTTCTGGCGGAAGGAAGTTCAACTTAAATAACGGATATTGGCTTAAATAAACAATGGCCTTGCTCTCTCTCTCCTTTCTCTCTGTCTATATTTCTTTCTCCTTCCTGCGAATTGGCAGTATGGAAGTGGTAAAGCGGAAGTTGTCTGCCCGCCATTTTGCGGTTGGGGCGGCTAAAGTAAAGTCTTCTGGAATTATGGCTGCTCGGTGTGCAACAGCTGTGCTCTGCCAATTTCTTCTGCCGCCTTAATTGCCGCTTAATTAGCATAGTTTCATACACACACATAACCTCCATGGGCTCCAATCTGGCCTGAGCCTGATTGTCTTTTGGCAAAAAAAAATAACGAATAAGCCTGCCGTTGACATGGGTCCCTGGCTGTGACATGCCATTGATGGAATGTAACAACTGGGCAAATATTTGACAACCGCATGGCTGACTGCCTCCTGCTCCAGCCTTTTGGCCTCCATGGGGCAAGTCCCTGAACAAATCGGTCACTGGCGCGTGAGAGGACGAACATTGACTGGATTTTGGTGAGTGCCCTTTATGCATTCATACAGGGAAAATATCAAACCATTGCCCCCCCCCCAGGTCATTAAATATTAGTGCTACGTACTTTATGATGTTGTGCAACCGTGGAGGGACGTTTTTAAAGCCTTGAAAAGTTTTTGATTAAACAATATATATACATAAATAGTAAAAGGTGTGCAAGTAAGTACGACGTACCAAAAACTAGGCAACTATGAACTTAATGGCTATTAAATTTTAACTTAACCCATATATTAACTATATAATTACCACTATAGTTTCATCGTTTGGCAATAAAAAACTATTAAAATGATCTAAAAAGTCAATTGATATTCAAAAACAATTTTTAAAACTTATTTACTTTTAAGCTACAGAAACTTAACTTTTATCTCGCAGGAGAAGCCGTGGATAACATTCACTTTTCTAACGAGCATTTACCTATTATTTGCAAACTTCAGTTCTAAGTATGCCTAGATAAACAAATACAAAACGGAACTTAAAAGTTTCTCCTGCTCAAAAGGAAGTTAGCTACTTATGACGTAATTCCCATCTCACTTCCGCTGTGAGCAAGTCACAGAGCATTCAAATTATTTTCACACCGAACGACTGTGATAGCGACAATGTTTGCACAGACCGGTGGAAGGAAAAAAAGGGAAATGGCAGTGAAAAAGTGTACAGAGAATGTACGTACAGTAATGGAGGTCCTGCAGCCAGGAGGAAGTGGTTAGGTAGTCTAAACGAATGCCCAACCGACGCTAAAAGGATAAGAGCATTAGGGCATTTACTTTGCAATTGCGATTGCAATGCGACCGGGCAGGAAATCAGGCCAGAGCGCATTAATACTCGTATATATAGAGGGCCTAGAGAGGTATCGGCACTAGGACCATCTAACAAGGACATTCACATGTACAAGGACTCGACCAGAAGCTTTTGTTGTTGTTGCCGACACAAAAGCGCAACAAACAAGCAACAGCCTCGGGACTGCTGGGCGGCAAATGCAACGACAAAGGACGAGCACATTGCACTCCGGACCCACTTAATCCTGCCCATTGTGTTAGCCTTATTATGACGCCCAACACACGAGAGTTTGGCCCCCTACAGCCAGTTCAATTTTTAAAGAAATAAAAGGAAAACCGAAAGAAGAATGCTGGCAAAGCCTTGACGATAGTTTTATGCTTTATCAGCAGCGTCGTCGCCAAAGCTGGAAAAACTTGTTTGTTTTTCCTACGCTTCGTCTCCTGTAATGAACGGCATTGTCTGCCCTGTTTGTCTGCTGCTGGAAAAGGGGATGTGTCATAGAGGGGGTGGAAAAAAGTCAGCCGCGTGTGTTAAGGTTACACTTTGTTCGCTGCTCGCGACCAGACGGCGCCAGTCGACCCTCAAAAGCACCGAAAGCAGCAGAGCCAGCAAAAGCAACCTCTTGGCATTGGCCATTTGCCGGAACATTTTTGGCAAGCATTGTCGAATCGATAATATCGCAATGAAGTCATGTAGCTAAAATTAAAACATATTTAAAGCCATCTCGAGTGTGGGCAGAACTTGAAAAAGAGGTCCTTGAATATGAATGAGTACTTATATCAGGTCTTTTCCCTTGAGGCGTGAAATTCATAAAAGCCATAATAAAATCCACATTTTATTGTAAGAAAAAACTTTTCCATTAAATGACAAGGGTCTGACATTTTCTATGAAATAATATAAGCAGGGAATGCTTTTAAATATATTTACATGTTTTTCATCATTAAGTCTTATGAATTTTAATTTTCTTGTGGATAAAAATGTATTACAAAATTGTGTAAAAGTATGCAAATATTTAATTTAATACATATTTAATATTTAAATCTTTTAAAGCCAGCATTTCAAATGATTGCCAATATATAGGTGCTTGCAAAATACCGCCAATGATAATTCAATTTTTGAATATTATTTAAAGTGCTATAACTCTGCTGGCAATTTTTTAATAATATCACTTAATGCTAATTAAAGCTCTTTTGTGAATAGCTTAATGACTGATGCCACGATTACCTGGTGTGAAATTGCTTTTATCGGAATTAATTAAGTCATTTTTCGAGCTTCAATCAAAGATGCGTCAGGCAGTACATTTCAGCATAAATTGGCTTGAATGCACAACCAATTAAATAATTAATATTATGCGGCCAATGTTTGGGATGGCTTTAATAAGTGAGCTGGCAATCAACAGAACACTCAATCAATTTGCACAGACGAAACCTAATTATGCTGGTCCAAAATTGAATGCTAATAAATCAATTTAATGTCGAAGAACACGCCACATGGCCAAACGTTAAACGTCTTTAGTTCATTTTCGATACTCAAACTTAAGTTTTCTAGGTCACGTCCAGAGCGCCATATTTTTTCCCAATACTTTTTGTGAGCTGCTTCCTATTTCGGCAGACAAATGGCGTCGCAGTTTCGTGGCGCCAGTTTTTGTTGTCCTTGTTGTTGTGACCACCGCCACCACCGCCATCGCTGCCACATTCAGGACTTGTGGATCCACCTCGAAACCCCGCTGCTTGTCACTGCCAATTTTTACTGCAGCAATTCCTTTGCCAGCCTGGCCGGGTATAAATCCAGCGGCCCGTTATCGGGTGTTATACCCCGCCTGCGTTGGGATGGGAACTCAGCTCAGCTCAGGACCAGGAGATCCTTATTGATTTCCCATGCCATCGCTCCTTTTCAGGCATTAAAGTTGCAGCCGGCGAAAGCAGCAGCAGCAGCAGCAGCAGCAGCACTGAAACACGGATAGTTATAGTTATAGTTATAGTTCTGTTTGCAGTCCCCGAATCCATCAACAGCTGTCAAATTGCTGGGGCCATTGATGGCTTAATGTTGGCTAGGGCGAGTTGCCGGGAATGTTTTTATGGTTCACATTTTTAACAGCTACAGGGAGCTTAAAATTGAAAAAGGAAATATGAAATTTAAAAGTTTACACTTCCTTGAAGAGCTGAGTTTATTGGCAATTCGGGAAATATGTTTTTCACCGTAATGGGAAAGTAACAATTAAGTATTTAATTTTTTTTATTATCCAAACAGATTTGTTCTTTTCGAACGGTATTTGCCAGAAAAAATAAAGGAACCAGCTGATATAAATATTCAAAAGCTATGTAAGATTTAAAGCAAGTTTCAAAGCTGCATTGTTCTTATTTAGTTATTTATTTTGTTTTAGATAGTTTGTTAACAACAAACATTAACAGAATCGATTACTTAGCTTTCTGTTAAACTTATATTCTTTCTTTAAAAAAAATGCCTACATATCATTATTCCTACACTTTACCAGCTATTGTTATTGAGAATAAAGTGAAGTGTTGTCTTGGCAATTAGGCAGTAAATGGTATTACTTTTTCCAAAAGAAAAGGCAACTATTTGCTTAATGTTTTATTTAGCTTACTTTATTTAGCTCCGAACAAGTTATTTGGTTTTGTAATACAACTAACTATGATGACTTACGCAAGCCATTTGCTTGATTATATTTTATTTAGGCCATGTTGTGTGTTTGCTTACTCTCGTTCTGTGTAATATTTTTCCGCTTTCAGTTGGCCAAGTCCTTTCAATCCGTACAATTACCGCCAGAGACAAGTGCATCCTTGGCTGCCGGTTCTAGTTCTTCCCATCAATTGACATCTGGAGCCGTGTTATTGATGGCTTTTATTGCCAGGCACGATTCATTTGTTGCGGATGCGGTGGCAAATGCGGAGAATCCCTTCATTTCGTGGCACATTGCACCGCGCCAAGTGCTCGACGTCAATCACATTTCCTTTGTAACAAATCCGCTGGCAAAGCGCGTTGGCAGCAAGTCATGTTAAATTACGTGCAATTAAAATCTAATGCACACCAGGATGTGTGTATGTTTCGCAACGAAGATA